GCTCCAACGCGATAGCTATAATATTCTCTCGCTTGTTTCTCCATCTCAGGTCCATCTTCATTCTAGAATACAAAAACAACCGGTAAGTACTAGCTCATCCCAACACTCGTATAAACCACTGACATTTTGACTGTTAATTCCGTTTTGAACCAAAGCCCGAAATAGCTTGAACTCAGACACGGCGGTTTTTAACTCTAACAAAAGCTCGCAAAGCTTCTTCAACGTTGCGCCAGGATATTCTGTGGTATAATGGCGTAGAAACTAAACCAACGGTTATGCCTTCCAACGCAATCAAATCGCAAACACAAAACGTACCTCTATATCATAGTCACAAAGTTCTGTAGCGCATTCCACAGGTCGAGCTTCAGGCTCGGGTTCTGGCTCCGGCGTTGGCTCACGATGTACGGCTGGTACCTGGAGAGGAGGACCTTGAATCTGAGGCAGACCGTAGCCCATGGGAGGACCATAGATCACGGGCGGCACAAAATATGGCATTGGCATAGGAATGGTCGGGTACGCGTAAAATCCGATTTGCTGAACAGGGTACACAACTGGAGCAGGTTGAACGAATTGTCCAGTAGCACAGTATCTTCTCATTATTTCAACCACGATTGGTTCGGAGACTCCAGCGCATCCCTGGATGATATGTGGAGGGTACCCAAGAGTAGTCATTCGAACAACAGCCCGGCAGAGATCTTCGGAGGGGAGGCGTTGTTGTCCATTCATGATCGTCGCTGACGTTGGGAGGATGTTCCCTGGAGACGGGGCCGCGAAAGGACCTATTGAAGGTGAAACATCAATCACAGACAAACAACAAATAAAGTGCGCGCTTCCCCGCATTTGGTTCAAATCTGCCCTTCACAATACAATTGCTCACGCGCTAAGGAGCAGGCAATAGAAAATATTCACTTTTGACTTTAGTGAACGCGCGCGGAGAGTGTTAGAAGTGGATAAAGCGCGCATATAATCGGGTTCCATGGGCAGCGAATTGATGGTGAATATCTTGGCGTACTGGAGCTGGATATGCTCAAGTTATCGCGAACCTGCGCACGCAACCTAATCATACGGCCAGCTCACACCTACCTACCCCCAAGCATTAATTCCAAGGTGTACTCTTTGAGTGATTTTATACATGCCATGCGCACTTGGTCTAGGTTCATCTACGAAAGAATAACCATGGAATTATCCTATACCACACTTATAAATCTCTCAAACGGGCAGTTTAACAAGGGTTATTAGGTACCGGTCAAACCGCACAACCACGTTGAGTAAAGGGTCTATCTATTGCCTATTCTTGCGAAGGGATCCATCGCTATACCGGGTTGGTTCATGACGCACGCAGGATTTCGTAGCGATTTAGTATAAGTCGCCTGAGCAATTTAGTTTTGTGAATTCCCCACTTGAAATGGCCTTTGACCTTGAAGCTTCGGGAAATCAGTCCTACTCGGTTTCATGATATGTATTAGGAGAAGTATTAAAAACTCGGTTGCGAAAGAACGAAAGTGACGGGAAGAACAGAAAATAATAGAGCTAGGCGAGATAATTAGGTATAGCCACATTCGCGGAACCAGTTTTCCGCGTGCTCCTTGGCTGCATCGTAGACGTGGTAGAAGACAATCGATTCAACTCCAGCTTTATCCTCGGCCTCTCCCAGCAATTTATGAGCTCCAGTAATTCCAGTCTTGATTGAAGACACCGCTTGTTTGAGAGGGTTCCAATCGGGCGAGTCGCGGGGAAGGAAGAGGCATGGGGTCCCGCTAAACTTCAACGTCAGTTTCGGGTTGCAAAAGCAGACAGGAATAGCACGGACCTCGAGAGGGCCTTTTTAATAACAGGATCGTCAATCTTCAAAAGGCGGGTGTTCAAAACGAGTACAGAATTGTTTCTCGGAAGCTGCTCCATATAGTCGGTGGTATAATTCACAAACTGCCGATA